CTTATCTAAGCAATTATGAGAATCAACAAGAAACATGTACATAGTGTAATATACCAACAGCTGCAGAAGCTTCCCACAGAGATAAAAACACAGTACACAGGAATGCACTAGTGCTGGGCGGCTTATAGGTTTCCGCTTATTGAAAGCTTGGCTGGAATCGTAGGAATCGACTCCAAATCCAACTACTTACTTTCTTATGGTGTGATTAATTATTCCGGTGGTTACCTGGTTAGCTCTGAACATCTTCAGGATTAAGGATAACTTTGATTTCGGAACACTACGAAGCAGGATCAACTTTTTAAAAAAAATTCTAAAAAATAGAAGAAGATTTTAATAAGTAGTGACCGTTGGTTTACGTAAAATGGAGTAGGAACTTTTCTTCCGTAGGAATCGGTACCGGAATCGATTCTTCGCCCACACTCTCTGGAGCAATCACTGGCCGCCACTGACGACAAGCTCAGAGGTAGTGTAGAGATTTTAACGTTGCCGGGAAGTCCGGAGAGCTACCTGTTTGCACAGGGAAATGAGCCACTGGTATCCTATACGGGGGGCCGGGGGGTGCTTTATGAACCAAACTGACTTCCCTACTATATTCTGTTTCTGTTCTTCTAGCCACTGGCATCCTATACGGGGGAGGGGGGGGAGCCTTGTGAACCAAACTGATTTCCTCCCTACTTTATTCTGTTTCTGCTCTTCTAGCCCTGATTCTTGGTTCTCCAATCTGAAGAGGGGGTGGAAGCAACTGATCCGATTTCTTCGAATGGATTCCAATGCTAGGGAGAGAGACGGGGGGAGGAGAGAAAGAGAGAGAGAGAGAAAGAGAGAGAGAGAGAGAGAGAGAGAGGAGGAGAGAGAGGGGAAGGGCGGGGGCGGAAAAGAGAAATGTGTACATTAAAAAATAATTATACTAATTAATTTAATCTTGCTGAATTTCTGGCATTCCGTAAGATAATAGGTCAACATTGGCACGTCCGAATTACTGATCCGATCCCATGACAACAATCGACGAGTCGGATTCATATGCACTCCACTTCAGCCTATTCCAGGATTCTATTCTTTTTTTTAGTAAGAGTTTTACGGCACTTGCAACACAATAAGGTAATATGAGCGCCAGAAGATTAGAGGAGTTATAATAGAGTAACAAACATTTAAAAAAGAAGAGGGGGAGGGAGATGAGGACGATAGATGTTTGTTAGGAAGAAAAAGCAAACCACATCAGAGCACCCGCCAACCACCCACCAAGATTCTCCGAGCGGAGAGCGAGCGTCAAATGAGGCGAATATTCCCTAGCACGTGTGCATGCTGCAGAGGGGGGCGGGCAAAAGGAGGTGTGAGGAATTCCACACGCTTGACGGATACACAAACTCCATGAAGGAAGCCTGTAGTACGACTTCCTTGACTTACTACATTAACCCTATTCGTACGCCTTGGGGTCATTTTGTACCCCCGGGGATGTATTCTTCACATTTTAGAATACTTCTAGTTCGAAGATCTCTTTGAAACTTTCAGTATTTCTCAAAAAAAATCATTTTAGCACACTGCTATGCAAAGAGCACGGATCGAATTAACGAGTACATTTCCTCTTTGAAAAATGGTGGCACAGAGTTCCCCACGTCGCATGGATACGATAGTAAAACACGACGTACAGATAGGGTTCAGCAGAAACACCTGTTTTGAATTTAGATTTAGTAAGAGTTTTCCGGCTTTTGCAACACTATTAGGTTGAACAAGTGCCGACGATTACAAGTTTGTATTTGAGTGTGAGTAAAGAGAAAAGTGCAGGGAAGAAGGAAGACAGATAGACAGAAGCAACAGAGGGAAATAAAAGAAATAGAGGATCTACCGGTGACGCCCTCCAGAAGATTAGAGGTGAAACTAGAGGGTAACGTACAAAGAAAAGAAGGAAGAGAGGGAAAAGAAGGAAGAGAGATAATGACGACAGGCCTCTGTGAAGGAAAAGGAGGAAAGAATACGATGATAGATGTCTGATACTTAAGAAGGAGCTTCTTCTTCTTCTTCTCGATCGCATCACACTTAAAGTCTGGTATTTGTCATAAATTGGGCCGTCCAGCTCAGTTCATCTGTCGGCCCGTATAGCTTCTCTTGTGGCGTCAGTGGGGTTAGCCACGTTTCCTGTCTCAGGGCCCTGTGTGTCTTGCAGTGCTGAAGGATGTGTTCAACTTTGCAAGGAGCACATCACACTAGAGTGCCCGCCAACCACCCACAAGAAATCCTGCAACGCCTGTCTTCGACAACTCAGTTTGCACATGGTAACGGAATCGACACTTTTGTCTTTTGGTT